CCCCAAAACCCCAAAACCCCTTGAGTAAAATTGGCTTTAATTTTATAATTGCATTAATTAATAAATATGATAGAAATTGTAGTGCATCTATTCATTCTCATACCAATCTTTTCAATGATAAAGGGGATGAAGCTGCCATTAATAACTAGATTTTCAGTAGCTTCTGGCATATTGCTCTTAGTATCCTTATATCAAATAAACCAATACTTGAACACAGGTATAAATCTTAAACGAAATTAATATATAAAGAGCGACAGTAAAATTTGTATCAAATCATGGGAATGACACCCAGGCATTTCGATAAGAGAGAGCTTAAAAATAACTATAGAAGATTATCTAGGATAAATCACCCAGATAAAAACCCAGATCCTAACGCAGTTGAAATGTTCAGATAACTTACTCTAGGTATATATTTCATTTTGAGTCTGAACTCATGATTTATTTGAATAGCCAATGAAATACTGCAAAGCAGTGAGAAGAAAATTGCTTATGATATCTTTTCTCAGACTGATTTCACCGCAGAGGAGAGAATCATTGATCAACTAAGAGCAAATTTTAAGGATGAAGCGTAGAGAGCAGAGCAGTTTAGATTATATCAAACATCAGTAAAATCCATCTCATTAATGATTGATGTTGTACCTGCTTATATTACTTGGGCTGTCCTGACTTTGATATTCCTCAAAGATGATGTAACTTTAACCTTGTCTGAATATTATAGAGGAAAAAAGCAAAGCTAATATTATTTCTGGTTCTAATTGGAATGGGTGGATTTGAAGGAATAGCTAGATTTAACTATGGTGCGCCTGAATATTCTCAAGTATTCGAGCCATTTATGCTAACGTTTCCAGAAACCTTTACGATGGGTGAAAATGTAATTTGTCTATTATTTTATAATGTCTATAGCTTATGTTTTTAAGATCTTTGTTCCCTTTGATCTTCTAGATTGTTGTCTTGCTACTTGACTATACTTTGGATAGAGTTGATCCTTTTGCTTAAAAAGAAGATAAAGATTAGGTGTACACTAATATCCTTAAAAGGTAATAAAAAATCATCTAAATCGTAGAGGAATTTAAGGAAAAAGAGGATAAGACTATGGATGATTTTAAGGATATCTATAGCGAGCTATTATCAATGGCTAGCAAAGAGGGCAATGATTTTATACCCGCTGTTTAGGAATTAGCTGAAGAAGGTGAATAGTTTAGTGCTGTCAAGTTTGTCAGATTAATCTTTGGAGTACTTATGATCGTTTCATTAGGGTAGATGCTATTATTTGGATCCTCTCCTTCAGAACCCCCTAAACAATGAATGTTCATTTTAATAAATTATTGATTTTAAATATTCCTCCTAGGTTCTTAAATATATACTTTGCTCTAACCACACTGACTGTTGTTATATAACTTATGGGGTTTTGGGGTTTTGGGGTTTTGGGG